GGGAATTACTTTGTCCTAACCTAAAAATCTGCTGCTTGACTGTCGCTGCATATGTTTACCCGAGTAGCCTCTCTGGAGATTCTCTTGGGCGCATATCTGGATGGCAAGATTTCAGTCTGGTATACCGTTGGGTATCGACCTAGTGCAAGCCTTATTCTCGCCCCAGGTCGCTCTCCATATACACCAGCTCCTGCACCTTCTTTCATTAAAGACCCGTCTGTATACCAGATGAGCCCTTCCGGTTTGAGAAAACCTGGGTCAGGCTCACTCCAGTCGTTTCTGGAGGGGAAAACCACTTTATATCTCCTGAGGGGGGTAGACGTCTTTGGCATTGCATCCCTTCTTGTGAGAAGGGGGTCCCGGTTGATAGTCTCAGTCCAGGCCCTTGCATGCCCTGAGTTTTCCCCCCCTTGAGTCCCCAATCGTTGAGTCTGACTGAGGCCTCCCGAGCCCGTGCCTCCACAAAGAGATGTAGAGGCGCCAGTCCCAGTATGGCCTCCATTGCCAATGTTGGAGTGGTTCTGAAAGCTCCAATGCAGGCAAATCGTTGGAGCTTGTCCATCTTCTTCCTGTAGGTGGGCTTGCTTAACGCATTCCACCAAACAAGGCTGCCGTATGTGATCATTGGCCTTATGACTGTTGTGTAAAGCCAGTGCACTATGTGGGGTTGTAAGCCCCAGGTGCGTCCAATGGTCTTTCTGCATGCCCATAGGCTATGAGTGGCCCTCTGGACGACCCTGTTGACATGTTCCTTCCAGGTCAGCCTGGAGTCAATGATGACTCCTAGATACTTGACTGATTTAGATGGGGTCAGTCTTGATCCAAAGAGCGTGAGCCCCTCAAGGTTAATGTTTCTTCGGTTAACCTTGAGGGGCTCACGCTAATAACTGTTATTGTTAAAGTGGTTTTGTAAATTCGTGATAAAAAGTGTTGATTGTCTATAAAGTTTACTAAAATAAAAAGGTAGGTAAGTATTCGGTCCTTTATTAATATCAAAATAAATATAATACATTGTAAAATAATAAACCCCCGAATATACCGTTTGAAATATAACAAATAAAATTATCTAATTTTTACTTGGTGACTAGAGTTAATGTCGTTAAAAGGATATTATAATTGACACATCATAGTCATTTTAAATATAATAAAAAACTTATACAGAATTAGCTATAATAATTATAATTATTGGCGTATAATAATTTCTGAGTGCCTAAAGACCTTAAAATAATAAATATCATTAGTTTTTATTTATATACATATTTTAAGACGCTACGCGTCTCGATAAACTACCTAATCTCTAGAGTAGTAATGAAATACTTTCCGTCTCGCATTGTAATATACTATTACATTCACGATTCACGGGAAATTAAGCATTCGTATGATTAACACAATATTTTTTTTATTTTTAGAATAATATGGATTATATCAGTCTCGTCCCAGCTCTTGACTGGGTAGGTCGCTTGTTAGCTGAGTCAAAGCTTAAAACGTAAAACGTAAAAACTATAACCAACAAATAATCCCTCATAGTGCAAATAATTATAGTGTAACAATTACAGTGAGTACAGACTACTCTACGGTCAAGAATGTAAAGTGCCAAGTGATAAGGAAGAGTGAAGTGACAAGTGCAAACAATATAGTGAAACGGTCAAAAGAGTTAAGTGTTAAGTGACAAGAAAGAGTTAAGTGACAAGTGTCAGTGTCTGAGCGGTCGCACCACCTGTCAACAGGACGATTTTCACTGGCCAAACAAAAGAGGTCAAGGGAGGAATAGGCCACCTGCAAAAAATTGATAAGTATCCTCAACTCATCTGCATGACCTAACACATAATTTGCAAATTAAACTAGACAAGGCACATTGCCTAATCCCTACAAAAAACAATAAATATCGGTAACAATAAATACATTAGAAAGTCAATATTAACCAAAAAAAAACAATCTCCCCAACCAGCGTATCGTATAATAAAGCTGTCAACAAAACAATCCAAGACAAACAAAATCGAGACCAAACAAATTTGACACTTAGAACATAAATAACACTCATAAATTAAGAAAACATAAACAAAGAAAAAAAAGCAATCTAATCAGACTCCATGGATTATGTAAACACATTAGACACTAAAAGTAAAAAAATACTTTAGCACAAAACATGCACTTCTCACAAATTAACAATTCGCATGTCGCTCTCGAGCCCCAAATAGGGGACAGTACGGAACGCAATGGACATTCGCACCCAGCAAACACGGGTGAAGCTGCGCAGTTGCTGGGGGCGAACAAAAATCGGCGTAAGTAAACATAGGCCTGTACGGGGTCCGGGAGTGATGATAAAATGGGGCTAGTTATACGTCTCTCATACTCATAGGATTATATCAACGGTTGCAACACTTTTTATTCACAATGGATTTGATAATATTTATAATAATAATAATAATAGGAAGGACATAAAAAACGTATACGGTTTATAAAAGAGGAATCCGAAAAAAAATTAAACTTTTGAAAAGAACACCCACCGTCTATAAATTGCTATGCAGAAACATCAGTTCCAAAAAAGAAAAAAAAATTACCAACAGTTGTTTGCCTCAGTCTGAAACTGATACAGAGGATAAAAATCTAAGTGATAAAGATAAATCAGCACTACAGCATGTAAATATTAGTCAAACGTATATTAATAAATTTTCTAGGGAAGAGTTTGATAACGGTAGAATTAATGAAAATAGGCTAGAAATATTAGACAAAACTAAAAAGTTTAAGTTGAGATGGTTGGTGCTTTGAATGCAAAAATATCTTGCCCTTTCTGTACATTTATCTCTTCTGCATACTCGGTAAAGAATTCAAAAACCGGATGAAAGTGGATCGTTTCGAACTTCTTGAGACATTACAGAACACATTTTAAACGCAATGAAAGCAAATCACTTATCATTGAACCCCGCAAAACACAAACTTAAAAGGTTCCCTACAGCATGTTGAATGTCCTGAAAAAAACTACTAGTGACAAGAGGCGGGAGCTCAAATACTCCTCCTAACTCAGAGCCCAACTTTCACCTAATTAACCCAAATTCTGCGGCTTCTACATCATGTGAATCGGATATTCAATTAACGTTCATTTTTATGAGAATTATGAGTACCAACAATTCATCCCTTACGAGGCAGAATCATCTCACGAGCTACTAATCAGTAGTTTGAATCCATTTTTCAATTATTATACTACCAAATATAAAATTTAACGACAATAATTATGAACCTCTACAAGACTGCCCCTCCTGAACACAATCATTACAGGAGACAACAAATACAGAAGAGACAAGCATGATGCAAAATAATGAGGTAGCTAATAATAATTGTTATTCACCTAGCAGTCTGATTTTAGAAAACATGGACGTTTTTGATTCAATTAATGATTTGGCAACCAGTTCATCACCACCAGATCCTGACGATTTTTTTTCCCATGGCAGTGTTGTGAAGGTCAACAAATCTGCCAGTAATAACGCTTCAGAAAATATAAAGCCTCCCAAAAATAGCAATTCCAGACGAGAAAGGTCTTTATGAAACTTAAATGAGCTACCATACAATCAAGAACAAATAAATAATTTTATGAATGTTATAGAAGAAGTAATACATAAAAATCATGAAATTACAAATACCCTAAGAATTGTTACAGAAAATAAAAGCCTAAATAAATTCAATTACGATATGAAAGTATTGTTGAAGCATCTTTTGGAATCAGCAATACAAAATTCAAATAACAAATCCGGAAATGAAAATAAGGTATAAAACGGTTTTAGCTATACATTTTTACCGCCGGTAGGATGGCCTACTAAATATTGTATTCAAATTTAAAAAATATTCTACCCTCTATTACTACTATTCATCGAAAACTGGAGGAAATGAATAATATTTTAGAGGCTGTAGTAATAATTTAAGATCTAAAATTATATTTATACAAAAGAAAATATCCCCCTTGATTTTTGTTTCGGAAGATCAAACAGCCCTTATCAAGAAAGTACAATATGATACGATTCTTCTTTAAATTAAATGGTTGGTTTTGTAGCACCATTACATAAAAATACAGGGTTTTCCTTGCCTCGGAAAATTTACAGTGGACTCAATTTTTAACATTGAGAATGCTTTTAAAAATGAAAGTTTGGCGATAAACGCATATGTTTTTATGGCCCAGCCATAAGTAGATCCCCTGCTTTTTGTATATCTATTTTTGGCAGCGATAACCGATTTACATCTGATGATGTTTCAAAGAGGTGGCAATACCTTGTAGAAGAAGCAGCGAAACATGACATAACAATTTTGGGGTTTTCTAGTGATGGTGATACACGTTGCTTAAAGAGTATGAAGACTATTTCGAAATTGCCACTAATCTCTAATAATCCATACTCACCCTATTATCAGGTATGTCAAATAAAAGGTTAAATGAAAAAATTAAACCCACTATATAATTATAAATAATTTTAGGCAGAATACAATTTAGAAATTCCTACTGTGTTTCAAAATACAATACACATATCAATAGGGGCAACCATATTATGCGGTCGCATAATCGCATATTTTTTCAAAAGTGCAGATAATATCATTTTTTGAACACTTTGGTATGTTATGAGTCCAGTATGCATCATTTCCAGTCCGCATAATTTCGCATAATTCGATGTCGGTCACTGCATATTGCATTTCCGCATATTATGCGCATAATATCATATATTTTCGCATAATTTACGCTTTTTCTGGTTTTCATTCGGCCAAAATCACTTTTAATGCACAGTACATTAATTTCGCCACGCCCAAATTTCGAAATTCGCGCCATCAACTGCAAGTGGGGATTCGGGAGGAGTTGAGGGTGGGGGTAGCGGTCTGACAGCAGCGGCGCGGTAATGCTACTACCGTAGTGGGAGTTAAGTTCTGGCTGGACGTGTCGTGATTTGGTACAGGTTATCTGTATCTGGGTAATTTTTTATTTTAATTTGTGTGTGCGGTGTGTGAGCCGCGTCATATCAACAATGTCGGGGTCGGTCGCACAGAGAGCCGATGCCTACAAGAAGGAGGGCATGTACGTCTTTAACAAGACAACTATGATGTGCAAGTTCTGTGAAAAAAGAGTCGATTGGGAGAGAAAAAGCACAGTCGATAACCACATCAAATCTTCGGCCCACAAAAGTAACAGAGCTAAAAGTGACGAGGAACAAAAAAAGAAACGGCAAGTTTCTATTAGTGAGTCTCTGACTGTTGCCAAAAAACTGAAGGAAAGTAAGGAGGAGTTTATAAAGTCTACCGTGCGTGCCTTCGTCCGTGCGAACATTCCATTACATAAATTAGACAATCTAAGCATTCGAGAATGGCTAAAGCAACACGTTCCTGGTAAGTTAACAAAACATAGAACATAGATTTGTGTGATTCTTCCATTTCTTCGGTTGAATATTATATTGTTCAGCAATTTTGGCGGAAAATTAAATTTTTACATGAAAATAAAGGTTTAACGAATATCTATCTATCTAAATAAGTAAATAAGTGTTAAATATAGCCCAGAAATACTAAAAACGACATTATTATTTTGTTCTATGTGCGAAATTCAAATATAATTAACTAGTATAATGTTTTAACAAACCCATCAATTAAATTGCAAGTTTTGAAAACAATATAATTAATATTCAACCCACGATTTGTTTGCGAGGGCACGCCCCTTAACCTCAAAAGACGTTCGCAATGGAGCTGTCATTCATATTCTTTACTTTTACTCTGTAGGTTCTGGTGATTTGCCAAATGCACAGCAGCTACGAGAGAAGTATGTTCCACTCCTTAAGGAAGAGTATGACGTGTTTCTACGATCCACGCTGAAAGGGAAGAAAATAGTTGTTATGTGCGACGACACCACAAATAGGAAGGGAGAGGCGATTTTCTTGATACTCTTCAAAGTTCTGCCTTCTGCTGGGGACGTCGATTCTCAAATATTTGTGGCATCTGTAAATATTCTAGAGACTGTCAACGCAGACCAATGTTCTAAAACTATTCTGCAGGTTTGTGCTTACTCTATAAACATATTGACAATATGATATTGTATTTGTAAAATTTTTATTTATATCATTCATGATCTTTATTTCAGACTCTTCATCAGTTTGAGGTGGATCATGACAATGTTGTGGGTGTTGTGTCAGATAGTGCTGCGTACATGAATTTGTGTGTGCGCTTACTGCGGGATCTCCTTGGCAATCCAAATTTACTCCATGTACAGTGCTGGGCGCACAAGCTTGATAAGGTTGTGCAAGTTTTTCCTGATAAGTTGCCTAGATTAAATGAATATGTCTCTCAAACCAAAAAACTTTTCAAAAATACCAGGAAAAGAAAACATTTCTATCAAAAATTTCTTAGACAAATATGCTTTCTCTGGGGCTAAAGAAGTAAAACAGTTTCCACTCCCTGTGATGTCTAGGTGGGGCTCCTGGAAAAGAGCTGCTGTGTATGTATCTGAATATGCTGAAGATGTAGCTGAATACTGTAAAACCTTAACTGGCAAGGCTAATGAAACCAAAGCAGTAAAATATTTTCAGAAACTAAAGCCTCAAGACATCATGATAGTTAAATCAGAAGCCATGTTTGTTTCAGAGTATTGCTCCCCTGTAAGTGAACTTCTTTTAAAGTTAGAGGGTTCTAAATACCCTATGTCCCATGTGCTGTATTCAAAGATAAGGAATCTCTCTAAGTCATTTTCTACTGCATCAAAGGCAAAGAATACAGATATTAAGTCAGTGTTGTATGAAAAAACCAAAACTAGTCTTAATATGGTACCTGGGGAGAAACAGAAAAATTTGCTGCAAAGAATGAAAGATGTTTGCACCTCCTGCTGTGACCTACTGAAAAAAATGTTGCAGGAGGATACTGCGAAGGAATTCTTTGAGTCCTCTCGTTTTTTGTTTGACTCCTGTAAGTTGACTGCTCCTCTTTCAGCTGAAAGTGTTATTGCAGCAAAAGAAAAAATAAGTATATTGTCTCCCATCCCATCATCAAATTTTGTAGTGTTACACTCTATTTTGGCAGATGCAGTCAAAGAAAATTCTAAAGATAAATCTAAAAAAGGTGAGAAAGAGGATCTGGTGCTTTGTGCATTAATTTCTATGATTAGGGAATATGTAAATTTTGTGATACCCTGTGTGCAAGTGTTACATGTGTCTGTTTCAAATGTGGACACTGAGAGAGGCTTTAGTGCTTATGGAGACATATTTTCCCCCAGGAGGACTACTCTCACAAAGGATAAAGTTGAGGCAATGATGTGCATGTATTTTGGCAGCAAGTTGGAAATGGAGCACTTTAACTGTGATGGAGATAAGGATGAATCAATGCTTGACTTAAATGACAATGTTATGTGAGTGTGGTGAATAGTCTATTGTGACTGTAATGTAACATTACTAATGTTGTAATTGTTATCTTAGATAACTTATCTATGTTATGTATGTAACATAATTTATGTTTATGTTGACTTTTAAAGATTTATAAATAAATACTTTATGGAAAATAAAATACTACTTTGTTTAACTTGTTTTATTAACGTGTGTGACCTGCAGTTCCCTATTCAGATTTAAAAAGAAATGAAAATGATGCTGTGTCGTACCTAGGCTGGTAATGGCCTTAAATACGCACTATAGGGTCTCTCTAGTTCTTCGACAGAGAGAATACCTACCTCGAGTAACTTTACAGTGGAGAAATAGGGTTTGAGAATCAGTTCAGGTTTTGTGGTTTAATTTAAATGCCAAAATAACTTAAACTTGTTTATTCTATCATAGAAATATATACAATATATACAAAATCATAAGTAAAGGATATATACATAAAATAAAGGTCTATCGTAGACAGGTATTATACAATGTTATGTGTACGAACTGGTTAATATTTCGTTCTTGATACCCCAAAAGGCAACAGGCAGGTACAGGCTCCGTTTTCCTCCACAGACAGGCAGGTTCACTTGCAACTGGGGCTATAAAGAAGAAATATTATTGGTTCTTCCATCCAGTATTAGACCAGTCGGAATTTGAGCCACCAATAGACTGATTTTATTAATGTCCAAATCCGCCTTTTATAGCTAAAACTTGCACAAAGAAATCGTCTAAAAACGACATCATGTCGTTCTGCTCCATTGGGTTGTCAAAATTAGTTGTTTTAGTACATGGTACGGCATCTGTTGGCTGGTGGATGTACTACTTCTTGCAGGTAACAGAAAACTTCGGTGAATTATTAATGGTTCATCACAATGCATTCTTAACTCACTATAATCTCTAAAGTACACATAATTTTCGCTTATTTCTTGATTTCTGCCCGAATAATTTCGCATAATTCCTTATTTTTGCCCGCATAATTGGCGCATATTTTCCCAATTTTGCCCGCATAATTGCCGCATAAAATGGCACAATTCCTGCGCATAATTTGGAGTTTTCAAACGCATAATTTAGTTGCCCCTACATATCAACTAAGTTGAAAACCCGACTACTAAATCAAAATATATGTATGAACATGGGAGGAAAACGGGTATCTTTAGATAGTAGATAGTAGAAAGCTAATTGAAAACTATTCAAGGGATAAACATTTGTAAACGCTTTCTCGAGTGTAAGTAATTATAAGGATTCTTAACACCTTTTAGTTTGAGCTACTGGACAATATTTTATTTTAACACTCTATTTGTGTTTTAAATTCGTCCTCTTTTTTTTCGGTTTCCTTTATTTTTTAAAGGATAAGTTGTATGCAATAGGCAATATACATTCCAACTTAATGCGAGCATGCAAAGGGGATAACCCAAATTGAAGAGCTTCTTTATTAGTCGGCTTGCAAACAACTTTCTTTAAATCGTGAAATGAAAGTAGGATTGGCTATACATATGAAACATGTCGAAGCCGAAGCCATAGTAAACTGCAACTTGTGTTTAACAGCGTAACTTTTCCCAGATATTGTTACTTTTGTATTTTTTAACTGGACAATTTTTTCTGTTATTTTGTTATATGTGTCCAAAACATTAGATTCTTTTGTAAATTCAAAATATATAGGGCGACACCATCTCGGAGATGAGGCCAAATCATTTTTCCAAATTGTCTCAGAGTTACAGCTAAGTATCAAGGGTACCATGGATACCATGTAGCATCTAAAGTTTTTTGATTTTCTAGCTGCAAATATTTTTGATTATATTCTAATTGGCAGGAAGCACCAACACATACCCATTTACTAATCAAAAGTTATTCATTTTCATTTTCTTCAATTTGAATTGCTTCCAATAAACGTTTTAAAGTATGGTCCAAAAGACTTTGCAAATTTACCTGCGCACTTGTTTCGGTGACATCAAATTTATCTGGAAATCATTCATTTTTGGCTTCAAGAACTTTATAATAGGGTGGTAAAATGGCATTATCAAAATCCTTTATGACATTTCTAAATAGTTTATATTGATATCTAGATAATTTGGCCTTTGTTATCAATGCCAACGCTTGATCAGCGGGCATATATTTTTTTTCATAATATTTTCGAGAGACTTGGCGGCTTTAGTTAACAGGTTAAAATCAATAGATTCCCGTAAATGTTTAACCTTATACCTTTTAGCTCGGTCGGAACAATCCGAAAAATCCTTTTCTGGTCTTCCAACACCTGATGGACCGGATTGTAAAAAATTTTTTTTAATTCCATTTTAATTTAATTTTTTAACCATTCTTTATTGTATGTCTAAATTTTTGTAAAGACCGGTGATTTGTCAACCATTTCGGTTTAAACTTATATAAAAAATTGTTTTTAATTTTGTCCATAATAAGTTTAAATTGATTTTCATTTAAATTTGGAAACGTATCTTTTAAATTTCCCTAAAAAATGGTGACATCTTTTTCACTATTTAAAAATAGGTCTGTTAAAAACTCGAAAGAAACGCAGAAAACATTGTTCATTAGGAACTGGTGAGCAAGTGAACAAGATCAAGGACCACCCTTGTACTCGCCCAGTGATTGGTGAATAAACATTGGTCCTTCGAAGCACCAGCCCCTTGGTAGCCCCGGTCCAGAAAGCATCAAGAAATAAAGCCATGGATAAATTTGAAAAATTCTGTGAGGCCCAAGAAGGCATTAACAACGAAATTAAAATAATTTTGTCTAACATGAAAAAAGATGGTCCAAGCAGAAAAAGGAAGCAATACGTTAACGAACGAATGGATAAGGTATCAGCACTATTGGACAAGGCCAAGAAGAATAACGAAATGGTGACAAGTTGTGGCGTCAAGACTCATGAATACTTTACATCGAAATTCATTAACCAGATCGAGTCAAACACTACTGACGCCACGACTTACATCTTAAAGTGTTCAGAAGAGGTCCAAAATTGCCAGGCACCAAACATCTCTCCACAAACCTATGCTAATTAGATATAGATCAGGCAGATGAGTCCATGTATCCCTTGCACGACCAGTTTCAACAGCTGAAGACAGAGTACAACCAGGTACTTATGGAAATGGTTCAACGAACTACAACAAACACAAACGTAACTGATTCAACGATAAAGTCAAAAATCAAACTGCCAACCCTGCAGATTCCTACATTTGGAGGAAAATACGAAGAATGGGGTACCTTTCAGGACATCACAAAGGCAATCCACGAAAATATTACGATTATGGAGGAGGACAGGATGCACCTTAAAACGTACACAAAGGGAGAGGCAAGTCGACTGATCCAACACTGAAATAACTGAAGCTAACTACAAATCTGCTTGGGAAACGCTTCACATAAAGTATTACAACCAACGGTTATTTGAATCGGCAAGATAGCTGAAAAATTTACACAACACTACGATGGTGTGTCTACAAGCCATCAACATTACAACTTTTAATTTTTTTTCTTTAGTTACCATGAAAATAACGCCCAAGATGACGAAAAAAAAATTCTGATAAAGTTTGAGCTCTTAATATTAATATTTAGCGGTGGCGCATCGCGATTTTTTAATTCCATTCCATTTAAATAACACGGTTGTAATTTTATTGCGTTTTAACAAATCAGTGAGTTGAAGAAATCAATACATATTCTTGTAGGGAATTGAACGATCTACAAAAAAGATCTGATATGATTTTTTGCGTAGACTACTCGTTTAAAAGTTATTTGAGGTTAAAGTTCTACCTCAAATAGTAAATGATAATTTTATAGTTTTTCATACTCTATTACAAAATATTGGCTCAAAACATGAAATATCATATTTTTCGTGAAGTTTATCGAGTGCTCTTCGGTAAAATAATACAATTTTTACGAAATATCAATAATCGTGAAAAAACCGTTTTTTTTTCTATACTTGATTAAAAAAAAAAATTTTCTTTACATAGCGTAGGGTAGCGCCTACAGTTATTGACACGTTAAGCAATGGTTTTTCTTGTCAAAGACATTTTAAATTATTGCCCAGAGTAATATTTAATTTTTTATGTAGCATCCCGAGAAGTAATATTTTAGGTAGAAGCGGCGCATTTTGGTCTTTCAGTTGTTAAAGATGCCAGGACCATACTTATTGACAGGGTCTATATAGTCATTAACACACCTGTGTACACTGATTGAAACGTTTGTTTCTATCTAACAGAATGTATCAGAAAAGGAAAAAAACAATATTATAAAATATTATATTACGAAATATTAAATAGTTTGGAACATGTAACACATAAAAATTCTGACGGACTACAGTTTTCATTAGTAATATTTTTTTTTCTTAATAGACAGCTAGTGTGATAGCGCCTGGGACAACATGTTGAAAGTTGACACGACATGTTGGGGACCATTGGTGTTGTGCATTCTAACCAAAAAATAGATGCAAATACTAATTAACTTTACGAAGCCTCATTTCAAAATCCATTGGAACGCCAGAAACTCTCGGACTTTCTGGAGTTTATTTTACGACGTTTCCAATCCCTTGAAGCACAGCCCAAAGCAAAGTTCATGGAAAAGGATAATCAATCAGGAAAAGAAAATTTGCCCGCCACAACAGCAAATCCTTCTGCAAGTATCGCTCCGAAGAACACTATATCAATTTGTTTAATTATGTAATCCATTTAAGCAGTGGTACTTTAGTTTTGTAAATAAATCTGTTTGGATTAAAATTGCACTTCCCTGCTGTAATATTTTATTTTAAAAACCGACCGGTTTCGCCTTACGGCATCTTCAGGGTTTCTACAAGAGGTACATAAATAGATATTAGATACATATATATAGGTTAAGCATACTTTAAAGTAACTTACACGTCAAAATAATAAAATATACTATTATTACATAAATAAACTATCACTAGGTTGTCGATACAATAAATACTAAATGAGACTAAACACGAGTTAAACAATTGATACATTAAAACTGAAGGAATATTATTTTTCTATAAAATTAGAACTGATTGAAAATATAAATATAAAATGAGGTTAGGTTGTTGTTGTTGTTTTTGGTTAGTTGACTAGATGTTTGTAGATTGGTGTATATAATAAATTTACTTGTTCATTAAGGCATTGTTCTTTTTTGTTTTTTATTTGTTTATTAATTTCGTAGGCTTCTAACAGGGTTAATTTGTGGCCTTTTTCCTGTATGTGTAGTATTTTTGTGTTTGTTTCCATGTTAAAGGAGTGTCCTGTATCTGTTAAATGATTTCCAAAATTTGATTTGTGATTATTGTTATTTGTGTGTTCTTTAATTCTTGTCTTAAAATTTCTGCCTGTTTCGCCTACATATGTAGCTTCGCAATCATTGCAAGTTAATTTATAAACTCCACTTTTTTCAAATATGTTTATTTGTTGTTTTGCGTTATTAAGGTTATTTTGTATATTGTTGTTTGTTTTTATGGCTGCTTTTAAGTTGTATTTTTTAAAAATTTTGTTTATTGTTTCTGTGATTGGTCCTTGAAAGGTTAGAAAAATAATATTCCTTCAGTTTTAATGTATCAATTGTTTAGTCTCATTGATTATTTATTGTATCGACAACCTAGTGATAGTTTATATATGTAATAATAGTATATTTTAAGATTTTAACGTGTAAGTTACTTTAAAGTATGCTTAACCTATATATATGTATCTAATATCTATTTATGTACCTCTTGTAGAAACCCTGAAGATGCCGTAAGGCGAAACCGGTCGGTTTTTTAAATAAAATATTACAGCAGGGAAGTGCAATTTTAATCCAAACAGATTTATTTACAAAACTATATCAATTATTGTTAAAAATTTAAGGCATTATCCGCCTTTAATCGAAGAAAACAGATACAAGAAAATAAGTTATGCTTCAACTGTTTAAACCATGATTTTAACACGAAATGTAACTCCACAAGGACATGCATGATATGTAAACAAAATCATCAAACATTGCTTCATCAAGAGCCATTACCAGATAAGCAAGCAAACAAGGATGGAACAGCAAAATCAAATTCAACTACGACTGCTGTTACCAATCACATTTAAGAAAATAACAAGACGGTTCTCCTAGCAACTGCACTAATTAATGTATAGGCCAATTAACATACCTATGAAAACCTTCGTGCAGTAATTGACCCAGGGTCTCAGGCGTAATTTTTCAAGCTTGTAATCTGCTGGGATTGCCAAAACAGAAAACTACAGCCAAGATAAGTGGTCTTGGTGAAAAAACAACCGAATGCAAGTACAAAATCACAGCAGCCTGCAAGCCAAGGACATCAAACGCATACAAATTCTCCGCAAAGCTGTTGGTGATACAACTCTGTCCAAGGAAATCAAAACAAACATGAATCAGTGAAACAACTTTCATCTAGCCGATCCAACCTTCTAAAAACCAGGTCTAATAGACGTGCTGCTAGTTGCCCAATAATACCAAGACATCCTATTAGAAGGCATAAGAAAAACTAAACTAAAAATGGTCTCATAGGCCAAAACACTGAGCTGGGATGGATATATGGTACATAAAGATCAAGCAACGAAAATGTAGAGTTATTGAGCATGGTATAAAAACAGAATAAAATTCCCAAATATCCATTTTTGGGAGCTAGAATAAATAACAGAACAAAGGCTCACTGAAGATGAAAAGAAGTGCGACTCCATCTACGATAATTCCACTACGAGGGACGAAGGCGGTAAATACACAGTACGGATACCATTTGCAACTCAGTCGGAAAATGTTCTTGGTGAATCCAGAGGAAGGGCATTAGCAAGATTTTTCCTACTTGAAAAGCGCTTTGAAAAATTCAACAAACTAGGCAATGAATATAAAAAATTCCTGCAAGAATACATTGATCTGGGACACATGGAGAACCACCAAGGAAGATACTACATTCCCCACCAGGCAGTTGTCAAGGAATCGAGTATTACGACAAAACTAAGGGTAGTATTTGATGCTTCCTGTCCATGCTGACTGGCCCACGCTTACAATAGGATTTGCTAGACATACTGCTGCGCTGGCATTGTCACAAGATTGCAGTTTCTGCTGATATAGAAGAAATGTATCGGCAGATCTCAATTCACCCTGACGATCAGGAATACCACCGGAATCCGAGAGTACAGATTGACAACTATAACCTATGGAACCGCATCTGCCCCATATTTAGCGGTCAGAACAATGCAGCAGTTTGCGAGAGATGAAAAACTAAATTTTGCTTTCAAAGTTGCCCTTAAAGATTTTTACGTTGATGACCTGCTCTCGGGGACGGATTCGGAAGAGGATGCCATCGAACTAGTAATCAATTAATCGAAATGTTTAAATCCGGAGGTTTAACGTTAAGGAAATGGTTAAGCAATAACTTTGGAATCCTTCAACACTTGCCCAAGGAAGTGAAGGACGAAACGGTTCTTGAAATCAAGATGAATAATATAAAAAAATCCCTTGGAGGATCATGGGCTCCCCATGGCGATACAATCAGCTTCAAGGTCGACCTACTTAAGAAGTTACCAATCACCAAAAGAAGTATTTTATTAGATACAGCCAAATTATTTGACCCTGTCGGTTGGTTGGCACCAGTTATCATTTAGGCCAAACTGTTAATTCAAGAACTTTGGCTACAAGAACTTTTATGGGATACACCAGTTTCGCAGAGCATTCAAGAAAAATGATCATTTAAAAAAGAACTTCCCGCTGTTGATTAATTGATTTGAATACGGCCCATTGTGCAAACCCCCTTTGGGTGAAGCCCTGACTTACCTTACGAGCCCGCAGCTTCTAAGAAAAGCCCAGACCCGCTCTGGTCGGGCATGCATTATTTCCTCTGGTTCCAAGTATCTGTCCCCTAGGTGTGATGGTTCTTAACTGGTTCCTATTAAGTTTCAGAAATCTTTTTGCCTCTTTGCAGGTATAAAGGTTATAAAGACCCTTGACTGCCTGAGGCCTTGTTGTTCACGCCATTTGTTCTGGAACTGGTCGTTAGTCCAGTTCCTGATCTTGGTTTTTACCA